GTTCTTTGGACCAGGAATCATTGCAGAAATTGGTGATTTTCTTCTGCCTTTTAGTTTACGCATTGAAATTATAAGCTTTAAGTTATTATTCAAGTGTTTTTGACTAAATATTGTTGGATTGCAGGGAAAGGAGAAGCTGATCTTTATGAAGTTCGCCTTATTTCGCAGACAACTTAAGAACCAAATTCACAAATATAGTGTTTCCTTAAATCTTTTACAGGATAATGCCAATGTAAATTTCTCATCCTAATCCAATTACACGCAACAGATTCAGTGCTGAAAATTTCAGTTGAGCAGAGAAACCATCTCTTCCTTTGTTTTCTCTTTTTCATTTTTGCTTCTATTTACCATATCATCATCTTGAAGAACAAACGTATGTTGACCACGGCAGTAAACACCACTACTCACTGCCATGATTCTCAAAGTTCAGATAACATGTATACTTGTATATGAATTGTTGCATTGCTCTAATCATCTGCTGCTGTATATGGTGATTTGTTGTTAGCAGGCATTGATCGGGTCAGCAAACTAATAAATTATTGATAGGATATAAATTTATTTGTTACACTTCAGTGGCTTTCCAAATCCTTTTCCGAAGTAGCTTTGCTGCCTCATGGGCCATCATTTTGGGCTACATCTATGTGCTTCTTGTGTCTGAGATCTCTAAGGATATTTGCAAGGAATGTGCTGCACATATATATATATATATATATATATATATTTGAGTGTGTACCATACGATGCACAACATGCACAAAATTAGCACACAAAATTCGCATTGATGAGTAGTTGGGAGAGCGTTTAATATACAGGAGTTCTTAAGTTAACTAAAGTTGTCTGGATGAAGATGTTATCATGAATCTTATAGTCTTAGGATTTGGATACTAAGATTATTTAATTTCATTTTTTTTTCTTATCCGGAATGCAATTATTCTCTGTTCTTAAAATACGAGAAATTTCTACCGACAGACCACTCAATGCTAGCCAGATCTCGGTCCTATTCATCTGAAGTCAACGCTGGAGAAATCTTATGGCAGATACGACATCCAAAATATGTCGAGTGTACCACACTACAATTGGACGTTCCAAAACAAGCTGCATTCGAGTTGCTAGAATATGTGACATATTGACCACTCCTTTGTTGTTGCCAGTGGAAGAAGACGACGACCAAACTCGCAGACCTGCGTGCTCTCTCATGTATTAGTTTATTCGAAAACAAAGACTAGCGCCCATGGGGATGTGGCGTTGACACTTCGTGGTCAGTTGACTTTGAATGCTAGAGAAGCTAAGATATTTAAAATCATTATTGACAGTTTTCCCAAAGATATTTTTCTCTCTCCTCAGATGGCTAATGCTAATTATATTATAGTTTTAAGAATATTTTTATATCATCTTAAGTAATTTTCTCTTAATTAATCTTTTATCAAAATTATATTATTTTTCTTGTAACTTCATAGTTCATACATCCACTTCAATATTATCATGTCAATAATATAAATTTATTGTATATGTTATTTCTTAGCTTCCTAACATTTACATTCATATATATATATATATATATATATATATATACATATATATATATGTATATATATATATATATACATATATATATATATATATGTATATATATATACACATATATATATATATATATGTATATATATATACACATATATATATATATGTATATATATATATACATATATATATATATATGTATATATATATATATGTGTATATATATATATGTGTATATATATATATATGTATATATATATATATATGATTTGGTCTAAAAATATACTGTATACATTCAATAATAAACTGATGTAAGGCAAAATAGAAAATGAATTATTCGAATTGCCAGTTGAATATTTTCCACGGAAAATAGAAAATGTGAATATGTTTCAGAAAAATTATCCATTTATTTATTTCCATATTATGACTCTTATATTCATTCATAATTATACAAATCAATAAAAAAAGAAAACCCAAACATGCTATTAAAGAGCATCACACACCTTGATGATCAACAAACGCACGATTTACGAGGAAGATCGAGTCATTAATCTTCTATTAAGAAAGAAAGAAGGGTGACTTATTTTTACTTCTGCTTCACGTAAAAGACGGGTCAAATGGAAGATTGGGCAACGTAGAAGTCATAAATATATGTGACGTGCATAAAACTTGGTCACCAAGATTCATTAAAATTATTATGCAATCAAATATAATAAATACATCAACATGAACGAGATGCATTGGCTCTACATGTTGTTGACTGTATGACTCTAGTAGCCCATATCATCCTTCATATAATACTTTTGTTTCTATAGCTGATGTCAGGCCCGTAAGTTCCAACTTGTGTTCAGATATGTCGGCACTCATCAACATCAAGCTGTGATGTCTGTCCCACCTATCATGCACACACTTCTTTTTTCTACGCTGAAACCATTGGATATGACCATCAAGAAGAAGATTTATGGATTCCAGTAATAGTTCGGTCCATAAAAGTATATATAAATTCTTGGAGCTGGAAATTGCTGCAGATTGGGGCCCTCAGAATAATGGAAGTGATGGAGGAGAGATGGGGACGGAGCAGAAGAGCATGCACTGGTCTCCTTGGCTTTTAGGTGGTCACAAGCTCTTGTAATTAACTCCTGCTTCAGGGACTGTCTCATCTACCTACCTCATCTCAACACTGGCCTGTAGAGTGTAGACTTGCATGCATGGAAAGATCCATAAGTAGTAATGTGTGTTAGAGAGAAAATATTGCAGAATTTGTTTCTCATGTCATTTTCTTTTCCTGAAAACTAAGCAGATGTGGCTATGATGCCTATGTTTCTGTGACATACTGATCCATTGATTCTATAGAGACTTCTTCATCTGTTCTTTTCTGTCTACTGATAACCTCCTAATCTGCAGATAGCACAACATGATTCCCATCTGCATAAGAATCATCCTTTGGAATGCTGAAACAAACTGAAACTGGAGAAACCTATATACGTATGTGGCTAAGAAGGCCATTTCCCACAAGATCATGCAGGTTTGGTAACACCAAAACCATGTGCAGGCTTCACTTATGGTAAAGGTTGTCAGCTTATCGGCAGAGATGGAGTTGTGGACATATCTTAAAGAGAGCTAAGAAGACAACTCCACTGGAGTCTACAGACAATGCATGCCTATGGTGCTTCTGAATTGGTACCTTCAACCTGCAAATGTAATCCCAGAAACAAATAATAATGATGAACAAAGACCACCCACTACGCCTGTCGGGATCAGAAAATGACCTGCGAACTATAGATGTAATATGTTTCTATGTTTCATGTGGATATAAGAATATACATATTGCTAACATACATAAATACATTTATAGCTAAAGGAGCACTTCAATCGGATCAGAGTATAAATATACTATTTCGACGGGAAATTTTCGTTAGGTGAACTTTTCTTTGGCTAATATTTGTCTACATTGATAGTTTTCTTGTGCAGGTACCATCCTTTTGACCAGATGCACTCTTTCAGCATCATTGTGCTCGTTTCACTTGGCCAAAGTCACGTAGGGCTTTACTGTACGTGCACGAGGAATATGGAATCAGTGCCTTGTTCGTACGAAGCAGATGTGAAGGACGTGTACACGGAAGAGTTCAAAAGATTCCAAAAGAAAGAAGAAAAAGCTTCGCACTCCTTTGAGATTGTGGCACGATAATGTCATTGACAACTCATCGAGATAAGCTTCATCGACATGGATGATTGCTTTACAATGAGGCTTCGAACAGAATCACAGGAATGAGACAGGAAACGGAGCAGTTCTGATGGGAACGAACCCACCAAAAGATGTGGACTTTTGTCATGGAACAGTATGAACCTGTGTGGATGCATGAAATTGTGGGAAGGGTAAGGAATCAAACAGGAACGAAAACCATCACAAAAATGAGATGATTATTCTTAGTCAGGTAGTTGGCAGGAAGACATAGTAATGGCTTAGTCATTGACAAGTACGGTGGCAGTCAAAGGAGGATGAGAAAGATTCACGAAAGCCAAAAAAATTAGAGACTCAAACATTGTGTTGTCATGGAAAATATTTGTTACATGACTTCGTTTCTTCTCCTTCAGCTTGAAATAAAAAGAAGATACATGTGTTTGATATCTGACTTGGTCTACATCATCATTTAGGGTCACTCTTTTGGGACAGGACATCCTCAACTTGTCATCCGTTTGGTGGGACACCACTTGGCACCCAGCACCCAGCTGAACTCTCTGCTGGATTGGGATGCCCAAGTCTATCCTCTCCCATGCCAGCCCCTGGTTATGTTTTCTATGGGATGCAGGAGGCAATGGTGCCATGCACTTTCCATGTGAGGGGAGTGGGGAAGAGGTGTGGAGATCTTTCCCCACCCCACCCACCCCCCCCAGTTTATTTGAGATATGTTGCATGTATCACAAAACACTCATACTCCAAATCACTTACAGAATCTTCCAACATGGATAAAGAAATACTTGTTTTACCACTTGACCTGCAAAGCCTGTGGAAATCGTGTTTTTATTGTGCCTGTTACATATCTGAGAAAGCAATGCATCTGCTAGTACTGCTCTCACAGGAGTGTCTGATGAGTTATATTCTCTGCAACAGTGTTTGTTTATTGATGGAAGAGCACTGGTTTCTGCTTGGGTTACATGTCAAAATCTGTGATCACATACCTGTAGTGAGATGGGAGGTAGAGGCAGCAGAGAAGGCCAGGCCATGCCAAGCTCTGCAGCAGGAAAGCAGCATGGTCCATCCTCATCTGAACCATATGCTCATCAACTTGCTTCCTTCTTAGGTCCCACGCCCATACCCAACTCCCACCACGACACTCCACCTTCTCATATCGAGGAATCAGGTCAAGTAACCAGAGAGCACAGCTCACTTCCCCAGAACATGAACCTTCTTCCCACCTTCACATGAGTTGACCCACACCAACACCAACACCAACACCACCCATGCCAATGAGATCTCCCATATCCTACCATATGAAAAACTAGTGCCCAACTTGCTATATAACAACACAAAATAATCACCTCCTACAGCAGTAGCACTCGGACTAGTCCTTACATATACTCCTTCCGAGATTTGTCTTCACAGCCATCATCCACAGTCTTAAGCGAGTCTCGTTAGACGCTGTGAGTTATGGGGACAAGCTCCGTAGAGGAAGCATGTGGCGAGATGAGGAAGACGGGTCCGGTCCCGTCGCCCGATCCGAAGAGTTTGCAGCGCGTCGGCAGCGGTGCAAGCGACGTCATCGACCCGGAGGTCGGCGTCGAGGCCGAGTCCCGGAAGCTGCCGTCGTCTCACTACAAAGGCGTCGTCCCCCAGCCCAACGGCCGGTGGGGCGCGCAGATCTACGAGAAGCACCAGCGCGTCTGGCTCGGCACCTTCAACGAGGAAGCGGAGGCCGCGTGCGCCTACGACGTCGCCGTGCAGCGGTTCCGCGGCCGCGACGCCATCACCAACTTCAAGCCGCTGAACGACGCCGACAACGGCGACGCGGCCGAGCTCTCCTTTCTCGACTCTCATTCCAAGGCCGAGATCGTCGACATGCTTCGAAAGCACACCTACCGCGACGAGCTACAGAAAAGCAGACTATCCTTCTGTCTCGATAGCAAGAAGACTGCTCCTCGCAGTGCACCTGTGACCGGCTTGCTTGTCGGAGCTCAGAGGCAGCACCTCTTCGACAAGGCGGTCACGCCGAGCGACGTCGGCAAGCTCAACCGGCTAGTGATACCGAAGCAGCACGCCGAGAAGCACTTCCCTCTGCAGAAGACGGGCGCCGCCGCCGCCGCCGGCAAGGGAGTGATGCTCAACTTCGAGGATGCCTACGGGAAGGTGTGGCGGTTCCGGTACTCATACTGGAACAGTAGCCAGAGCTACGTGCTAACGAAAGGCTGGAGCCGGTTCGTGAAGGAGAAAGGCCTCGAGGCCGGCGACGTCATCACCTTCCACAGATCGACCGACCCCGAGAAGCAGCTGTTCATCGATTCCACGGCGCGTGCTGGCCGAGGCAGCGCGGTAGCTCCGACTCAGAGGCCTCCTGTTCAAGTCGTTAGGCTCTTCGGCTTCAACATTGTCAGAAATCCGGCAGCGCCCGTCGGCGGCGATGGAGTGGACGGGAATGCTGCCTCCTGCGAAACCGGTAAGCGGAACAGAGATCATATGAAGTCGATATCATCACAAAGGATGATCAAGAGGCACTGCACCGAAGCTTTGTAGCTTTGCCAGTTTGGTTAGGTAGTCATCACTTCAAGTGTTTGTGTATATTAAGAGGGGTGGAAAAGCCTAGTGAAGAGAATGATAGCATCAGAAATTTTATTTCCTTTTTCTTGTATTGTTCTGTTCTCTTGATTCAATCAGTTCATATGGACTGTTTGTGAAACTTGCTTTCGGTACAAGAATAGATATAGTGCATCAATCTGATATGGATGATTCCTGGACGACCTTGATACCTATTCCATTGAACAGTGGCAGCAAAGGGCATCTAGAGGTAGAAGGTTACAGAGGAAATCTCTGCATCGTAAGTATTGACTGATGAATGACTAATAAAGTTTGGTAAGCTTGTGTTTTTTGTGAGCAAGCACAACCAATCCAGTGGAATGCTGCCTAATCTTACAGGAAGCTGTAACTTGGTTAGAAACAGTAGCTTCCACACTGACAAACGGCGGATGAAACAGCTGCAGTTGGACGAAGTCAATGTGCTAGATGTTGTCTGCATGCATAGCAGAAAGCTGGCTGCTGGTGACTGAGCCAGTCAAAGTCTATTCTTATCGTGTCATTTTCAAGTACACATATTGAGAACAATATGAGGTTGGAATGCAAGGGCGGAGAAAGAGCTGCCTGGTTGCTTCCTTTGCAGACCTTTCATGTGGTGTCTTGTGGATCATCAGGTTCTTCAAGTATGTTTCATGTAGTTCGTATGGCAAAGTAGATAGAGATTGGTTATCTAAGAAACAGGTCAAGATCATGAAATCTCACGGCAAACAATAGAACATTCAGTAACCAGCGACAGAGAGGGAGCCGATGAGATAGATTTTGAGGCCCAGTTGTGGTCAAAGTCTGGATGGCTTAATTATATGATTAATAGAATTCTACACAGCTGTGCCACATGGTTGGATCTTCTCGACCTACATCGCTTTCAGAATGAGACACTACCCAGACGTCGATGATGATGGTGTTATGGTTGACTCAGCCAAGCCTTCGTCTTCGTCATCATTTAATGCCTACTGTTCTTGTTTGACAGAACTTCCTGCGTGACATTGATTTTGCAGCAAGAATCTGACTTCTGAAGGAGTTGCAGTAGAAATCTCAGGTCTTGCACCATTACACCTGAAACACTGCTTTCTATTCCTCCAGTTTTAGTTCATAGATTCTCTTCTAAGAAAGGCTCAGATGCTTTATATACATCTATTTTGGGATTGATCATATCTGACCTCTGATGTTTGGTCCTTTTAGTTCTGTTCTAAAGCCTACAAACATGATGGAGGTGTGAGATTATGTTTGTTCTAGGATGTGAATGGCAGACTTTGTTGAGTTCCTATCTTCTCTTTCCTCTGGTAGTTGTATATCATAATATTCTTTTATTATTTTTGTTGGATAATACAACCCATAATTTCATCAGAAAAGAATTATAATGAAAAATGGATCTGTCCAAAGCTACATCAAATGAGCAACCTCCACCATTCTATTGCTGGTCCAAAGGAAGCCTTTTGATGATGAGTCCCAGCAGAAAGATAAGGCTGTACAAAAGTCTCCTGGGTGCTCTGCAAGCCTGGTTGGGTGTGTCCTTGACATGAAAAAAGTTGTGGCACCAAGACATGGAAGCTAAGATAAGTCCTAATGAGTTCATCAAAATAGATTATGGATGGTAAGACTAAGACAAGATTCTGCAAACAGGCTAATGACCAGTATAAAAATCTATGCTAAACAGTAAATTATTAGCAAAAAGGTAGGCCATTCTTCAAGAATCTGTGACAGACAAGCCATAGAAAAGTTGAGGTATGTGATTCAACTAAGATGTATCAGATCATCTTGAGCAAAGATTTTATCATGACAGGAGAAACAACAGCCATACCTTTCTTCAATGTATTTTTCCTATATTACCAAGCAACACAACCTTAATGAAGTGCCAACTGAGGACCACCCAAGCTCCATAATAAAGAACACATTAAACTATGGCTATGAAAAAGGTGAAACTAAAAGTTACAAGCACTACTGATCAAAACCAAGGCACAGACTCTAGAAACCAGTACAGTTGCAAAATCACTGAATCAAGATGTCTCTTTGTTATCTAATGAGCAACAAGTTCAATCAACATTCTCCATTCATGGTGATACTGACTGATGGTTTACCAGGATTGCGCTTGGAATGATTGACAGGGAAAGACATGGAAAAGTAGTCACCTCCTACATTCAAACTGCTTTTTGGTCCTTGTGAGCACCTTTGGATTCAGTTGATCAATCTTTCCAGGGTATCGGCAACATGCCACATTGATGGTCTCATTTCAGGATTAGCTTGCACACAAGCCAAAGCAATTTTTAGCACTGAAACAATCTCATCTTCTCTATCTATTTCTTGAGCTAGAAAAGGGTCCAAAACATCCAAGAGGGATCTCTTCTCTTCGATGCAAAACTGGACCCAATGAACCAAATCCATTTCCATAGTCTCCAAAAGAACAAGTGGGGACTTGCCAGAAATCAGTTCTAGTAGGATCGCTCCATACGAGTAAACATCCCATTTTTGAGATGGTTTCATGGTCCTGAACACCTCAGGAGCCTGATAACATGATCCTTTGGTTATGATGCGACCAAATGCAACATCCGATTGTTGGCTAGCAGTTGTCTCAGCAAATACTCTATCTGACTGCAGAAATGGAGATCCTTCAGCTAAGTTTGCCAGACGCCCAACCCCAAAGTCAGATATGTAGGGTTCCATGTTCAGTCCAAGAAGTACATTGTTAGGTTTGAGATCTCCATGAACATACTTCTTTGGACTAAATTCATGCAGGAAAGCCAAGGCCTTTGCTACTCCCTTCATGATTTTCAAGCGTACTTCCCATGATAGTGGTGCAGAATCCCCTGTTCCAGCTTTCCCTGTTATTAGCCACAATATCGAGAAATATAATGAGAATGATATGCATGTAAAAGTTTGAACCATAGAAGATGTTGATTAGCCAAATTACTCTAGAGATGTGAATTAACTAGTTTGTCAAAGTGCTCCAGCCTGCTACAAATACTTTTATGAGCAAGAAATTCATCTCTCACACAGAAAAGACTACAAGGTCAATATAGGCTTGGGAAACCGGTCATGAGATTGAAGATGAATCAATGTCAAACCATACTTCTTGAAGATGAACAGTCACTGACAAATTTGGTGTATCCAGTTCTTAGAAATGTCCTTTTAATTTAAAAATGATTTAGATTTCATTTGAATTTGATGAAGTTGGAAAGTACAAACAGCATTAAATGAAAATACACTAAAACATCCAGTGTGGAAAATCCTCCTTGGATTAAAACCAAGGTTAGTTGTATTCTTCATTGGAAACTGAATATTATCTTAAGTTACCTATGAACATGGAAGATATCATCAAGTATCAAAAGAAAATTAGTGGTCCGAAAGCATACCATGAAGAGCAGTAGAGAGGTTTCCATTATGAATGTAGTCATAGATAAGTAGTTTCTCATCAACCGACCAGAAATAAGCTCTTAGAGTAACAATATTGGGATGTCGAACCTTCCCAATCACTTCTACCTCAGTTTGGAATTCTTTAAACCTTTGTAATCCTCCTTCCCCCAGCCTCCTAACAGCTAAAGTAAGTCCATTGTTCAGCACAACCTTGTAGACAATACCAATTTCACTCTTCCCCAAAACAAAAGCTGACCCCTTAAGAAGCTCATCAAGATCAAAAGTCACATGCTTATCCAATGGCACTAGCTCATACTGCTCAATATTTTCTGATAATGCGCCCGACTCCTTTGTAAAGCACATGCATTCCTTCCTGCCCTTCAACCCTTTGTCAGAACGCTCTCCTTCTTCCTTGGTCTCTAGTGAAGCAATTGCCTTGCGGTAAAAGTAATAGAACAATAATGCAATCAGACCAATTCCAAGCACATCACTCACCGCAATCGCAATCACTGCAGCATTACTTAGTCCTTCACTGCTACTTCTTCCACTATGAGCGTCATCTTCCTTGGGGGAGAGCACATCAGAAGGACACGGGTTCTGCAATGGCGAGCCACAAAGGTCAGGATTTCCGACATAAGCCATCGGTCCTCTGCTCTTCAGAGCCCCATTTTGGGGTATTGGCCCACTAAGATTGTTATAGGTCAGGTCAATAAAAACATTCTCAGGCAGGTTCCCCAGGCTCGGCGGAATGAAGCCAGAGAACCTATTGTGAGACAAATCCAGAGTTCCTTGAAGATTAGGAAGATTACCAATATCACCCGGAATCGGACCACTGAATCCATTGTAAGAAAGATCAAGCTTTTCCAATCCTACAAGGCTGCTACCAAAGCCAAGGGGCAGAGAACTGGTGAAGTTGTTATGGCTCAAGACAAGGGCCTTCAATCGCTTGCATTGGACCAAAGAGCGCGGTATCGAACCGGAGAACAAGTTGCTGGAAAGGTCCAAGCTTTGGAGGTACAGAAGCTCACCGATCGCCGGCGGGATCGAACCGGACAGGAAATTCCCAAAAAGGACCAACCTTTCGAGCCCTCGGGCGGCGAAGAGGCCGGCAGGAAGGCTTCCGAAGAGCCTGTTGCTCCGAAGGTTGACATGCCTGAGAGATTGGAGGGAGCCAAGGGCAGAGGGGAGGTAGCCCACCAGCTTCTTCTTTGGCAGGCTTAAGGCGACCACTGAGCCTTCTCTGCAGGTGATCCCATTCCAGGAGCAGGGATTCTCGTCGGAAGAGTTCCAGTTTCCCAAGGAGCCCTTGGGGTCTCCTCTGATGGCTTCTTTGAACGATAGGAGGGCTGTGCCATCACTGTTCAGGCCACCAACAGCAAAGAGAAGAGATACATTGCAGAAGAGGAAGAGAAGCAGCAAAGAAGGTGGTGGTGGTGATGACAAGGCCATGAATGGGTGCCAAGGATTTGACCGTTAGAAGAATGAGCGCAGAGATACGAATACCATATAAACACTGAATAATCTTTACACCGCAGCAGAAAAATAAGGTGTGGAGAGAAGAGAAACGGGTGATCTCGAGCGGCCTACCTTGTGCGGGGCAGAGGGCAGTGGAGAAGGGAGGAGTCGGGAGCTTTGGGAGCTGCAGTGATGGTGAGAGGCGAGGGGTCTTTTGGCCTGGGAAAGAGAGAGTGAATGAAAGCCAACAAAGTAGAGGTCAGAGGGAGTCGGGCTTAGTGGGATTCCCAGTGCCAACGTGTAGAACTCAGATCCCTTACCAAAGGACATGTTGGTGTCATATCTAATATCTTTCAAGTTTCAAAATGACATATTTATCCCTGTAATTTTAACATACACCCATGTATATTCTCTCTGTTTATATTCACCCAAAAAATGCACATTATTCATAAAAAAGAGAAACATAATATAATTAAAATATTATATTTTATTAATTGTCGAATAATATTTAACTAATGTATACAGGGATGTTGAGGTTGATATTTATAGAGGTTCTAAAATAATTAAATAAAAATTATTTATGTACAATTAGATGTAGTATTAAATAAGGATTCAATGAGAAATTTAAGATGATATAAGTAAAAAACCTATTAATATTATAATTAGAAGCGCTAAGATAATTAGTCTTATAGAGAGATCTAAAAATTTATTTATTTTTTACATAGCTCAATGATGATAAAAGATCCTATATGAAATAATTAAGATATTATTATTATTATTATTATTATTATTATTATTATTATTATTATTATTGAGACTAATTATGAGACATGTATATTTGACTACTACTAAAATTTTAGAATATATAATTATGATTATGGTTATATATTTATAGTTTTGCCTACAAGTGAGATTTTGTGGAAGGAAACCGGGGGTATTTTGGTAAATTCAGTCCTTGAATATGTGCACGCGTACAATCAAATGTTGGTTTGAGCCTGGACCAGTTTGGTTGATGTCGACCAACCGGTTCGGGGAGAACCAGGTTGGAAATTACTGGGCCGGTCCAATTATTGGGCTGGGCTGAGGCTTAAAAATGTTGACTGCATTGACCAAATTTAACCGTTGTCTATCTATTACGTCATTCATTAAAAATATTCCAAACAAAATCCATGTTTATGTTCGTTGTATTCGTGATTGATCCTATTATTCCCTCCCTTAATTATTTTGCCGTATCTATCGAAATATTTAATGCTTCATATATTCACTTTTAATTATTAGTGTATTTTTTTAATATCAAATTTCAAAGACACGTACCACTTGGTTCAAATCCTCAACGGATATATGCCACTCCGTCAACTTATTGGGTGTGTCTCCCTTTCCTGATTCCATGAGAAATAAGTCAGCTAAACAAAAGCAATGCAACTGTTGATGCCATTCACGAATAAGTAATTTGGTAGATAATTGATCAACTCAATTTTGAAACCATCATCATATAACAGCTGTTATAATGAGCGTAAACGCATTAACATATTATAACAGTTGTTATAATGCCATCACATATCGAGATTAATTAGGATCACAAATCGCAATCTAAGTCAACTCTAAACGCCACATCGATTAAAGTAGGCGGGGGGATCCAAACACGGACCCGTCTCCTTTCCGCGCACGGAGGAGGCAAGCGTCGACTATTCCTTCTCCCTCTCTTGCTAGTTCCCCACGACGACGCGCCTTCCGTGGTGTGGTGGTGACCCGTGAAACCTCATCTGTTGTTCCGCATCGACATTTGACGTTCTCTTTCGCCATATGATAGCGCTCGATCTCGTTCTCCCCCGTATGGTGTGAGAAGACGACCGGAGGAGGGATCCATTTTCGTTTCAGGAGGAGGGAATGGCAGGAGGGATGGGGGATCCGGCGTCGAGGCGGGCGATGGACGTGGAGCGGACGTCGCTGTGCAACTGCGTGGTGAACTTCTTGCTGCAGGAGAACTACCTACTCACCGCCTTCGAGCTCCTCCACGAGCTGGTCGAGGACGGCCACCATGACCAGGCCATCCGCCTCCGAAATTTCTTCGCCGACCCCGCCCTCTTCCCCTCCGACCAGATCTCCCGCTTCAACGCCCTCCGAGGTTCGATTCGCAGACCCTTCCTCTCCTCCTGATCCCCTTTTGGACCCCTTCTTGTCTCATTCCGTTTCGCCAAATGGTTTTTCTTGAAAAAAGGAATCACGTTCTTATGATTGTTGTGGCGTTAAACAGCCAAGGCATCCATATGATTTGTGTAGAACATGTTTGATGACGTCTAAACAAACAAGACCAGCCTTGAGGTGAACGTGCCTGCTGTTTCATTTGCGTAAGATTGATCCGAGATTTTTAGGCCATTCGATTGATCATATATTTTCATGATAACAACGACTGGATTTGTTTCAGCAATTTAAATTGTAATATCATTATGCGATCGATCTTGATGATCGGTCGGTACTCTTATGCGGCCATTTGGCAATGGACATGGATAATGGTAAGATCATTGGGTTGCTATTGATATGTGTTTATTTGTTTGTCAAGACTCCGATGCAAGTATTTTGGATTCTTTGATCTTCTTCGTTCGGTTTCTTTTTTTCAAAATGATCCATTCACGTCTAAGGATGTTATTTTTTAACGTGATGGATCTCCTGGAAACTCTCTAGCAACCTGAAATTTATTATTGTCGGTTCCTCTGACTCTTCTTTGAAGCTTGACCAAGTTGTGATATCTTTTTTCAGTAAATATGTAAACTTTATGAGCTTACTTGCAACTTCTACCACTAGACGTTTTCAGATCCTCAAATGTCATGTTGTTTCCCACTATTATTTGATGTTTCGTTACAGCCAATATAATTGGAGCCAAATTTGGTGATCCATAACTCAATTTCAGGTCACCATAACTTTGGAACAGTGATCTTAGCTTTTCCTTTACCATTCTTGGTCGATTATAAGTTCAAAATGTTGGACACTTTTGATACAAATTCCTAGGTTTATCAGCGTTGAGATATTTTTAGGACTGTTTTTTAAGTATAGTAATAGAAATCCATTAGACTATATACAACAAAAACCTTGGATTTGAAAATTTCTATTCAATTATAGTAAATTTAAGATTTTACGAGTATTTTTATAAAATATATGATAATTTTTAGTTGCAGTTGTTGAGGTCGATAAGTTTGCAGATTTCTTCCTCTGCCAAAAAAGGAAAGAAAAAACTGTGATGCAGGATCTTTTGTTGTAATTTGATCTTTACAATATCCTGTTGATTTGATGTTTTCGACAAATGTAATCATTTGAATCAGGACAACATTTTATGCATTTCTACATCACATACCAAGATTGACCAAGGAGGAAATAAAAGCTGAGTTAAAATTTAAGAAAATGGAAGATAATGTTGACTGAAGATGCTCTACATGAAAGGCAATTAATTCCCATTGAAGATTTTGCTATCTAGTAAGATCATTTTATGAAGTGAAAATGGAAGTTAAGATTCTACAGAAATGGTAAACAGGATGATCAGTATGATTAACCATTGATTTTAAGAATTAGAATTTTTGTTTCTTTTCTCTTCTTGTACTTGGGAATTCTAAGAAAAGTTGGAAGAGTTGTAGTGAAGGACATGACTAAATGAATGAAAATTTTCTTCTCTTATTATGTGTACGGATGTATAAGACATTCATTCCTAGGGGCGATTCTTAAGAGTCCAGAATATGGTACATATCCCCTGATGGCTTGATGTCATCATCCATGCATGATGCTTATCCTGTGTAGGAACAAGGTTTGATGGCTTGATGTCATCATCCATGCATGATGCTTATCCTGTGTAGGAACAAGGTTTGTGTGATGCATTAGAACCAGAGTGAGAGTGGTATTTGTCTTCTCCTCTCTCTCTTTTTTCTTCCACCTTTATGAAACAAAATACGTATTTTCTTTGCACCTAGAGCCCCTTCATCCTTTCATCCTACATCAAATTGTTAAGTTCCAATTGTGATCATTGGACTTGGTAGTTCAAGCAACATAAAGTAGAACTTCTATGTTTTTTTTGTCCAAAAATGTAATTTTGTTTTGTTGATTGTATGTGATAAATTTGGTTCCATCAACTGCAGTTGGCTCATGGTTTGTGTGATTAATTCATATGATATTTCTTGAACTTGTTCCAGTTGCAGATGCACAAAATGTGCTAGAAGAGAAAGTAACAGTAGAAGAAAAGTTGGCAATCACTGAATATGAGCTTCGTTTAGCCCAAGAAGACTTGTCAAGACTCAGGGAGGAGTTACAAAAGCAAAAACAATATTTTCCTGATGACCTTAATGGTCCGTTCTTAATGTTTAATATAATCCCTATGATTTGTGTGAAGCATGCAATAGATGAAAATGTGTTAGATACAATTAATTTACAATAGTCCATCCTGTCAGTGATTTAGAATCTTTCTGCTAGGTATTTATTTTAGAATCAAACAGTTAAACTCATACCTAAGGTAAATGCATTACTATTGTGGCTAGATAGTAAAATCAAGATGGTATAAGAATGTTTTGTTGCACACTGTGATTTCAGATTATGGGTTACTAAACAGAAATCATCTATCCTAGATAAAAACAGGAAAAGAAAATCCTAAGGTGCTGGCATGCATAATGTTGAGATCTTTTGATCATTATGTTAATAAAATCTTAATTTTTTTGAATTTTCTTTTTGTAATATGTGTACTATTTTCACTATCTACTTGATTGCTTGGTAATTTTGAACTTAATAGAACAAGATGGAACTTCTGAAGCAATCTTAGATATAACCAAGCTTGTATCATAATTATGGTGGGTCCTATGTTGGATCTCTTCATGGATCAAATTTCTGACAATAAGTTTTTTTTTTTATTTTAAAAGCTTCAAAGTGAGTAATCTATGAGAATGAAAACATGTCTATGAACAAAATGTAAAACAAGTTTTGTTTTGTTTAGTCTGTCAACTCTTATCAAACGTATACTCACCCTCCTTCTACATTAATGCATGTGTAGTAGATGGCTCCATCAAAATGTAAAACAAGTTACATTTTGTTTAGTATGCAAACTCTTAACAAACATATACTCACTCTCCTTTTACATTAATGTTTATGTAGTAGATGCCTCCATCAACCATAAACTTGTATATAATGCCTGTGATCCATAAAGTAGATTGTACAAAATAATAACATAGGTGGTAAGAGCTCATAATCTCTCGAAACTCAGTGCCCGCATCAAACATGCTTTCATCTTGTTCGAAAACTATTATCTTGCTATTGTCATTTTTTTATCAATTTAAATTCATGACATTTTGGCAATTGTAACTGTATGTTCTTGGTTTGTATTTTACATGCATATTGCATGAGATTTATCATATCAATGGGTTGCTAAATGATTAATACTTATTTTGTGCCTTTGTCTTGAAAATATTATTTTATGACAACATTACATTAATGCTATTCTTAAATTCTAGTTCAGGGTCCAGTTCAGATATTTCGGTGACTAATGGCCCTACAACTCTACATAACACGAGGAAGATATCTTATGTCTCTTTAGGCCCGTTAAAGGACACTGAACGGAAAGATCTAAATTGTGCTGTGAAGGAATACTTGCTCTTTGCTGGGTACCGCCTTACAGCTATGACATTTCTTGAAGAGGTGAGTAGATCTTTATTGTATGATTGCAAAAATTTATAGAAAAATTTCTAGTTCAACTATATCAGCAGGCTGGTTATTCATTTCACATAATAAATTTATAAATATTCATTTCAAGTAAAGGACAGCCTTAACACAAAGCTAAAAAATCTTTTAGCTGTACTATTTAATCATGTTCCATCGATTAATCAACAAAAAAGCAGGACTGTGAAAGACAACTGCCAGAAGAAAAACTGATATATTTACTCTGCTGGTATCTAGTTTCTCCTCATATTCTTTGTTGCTTTGTGCATTTCAAATTTGTTTGTTGGAATCACATGGTTCACACAAATCTATTTTCATATGCTATTGGCTAACTTCTTGGGTTCTACCTTTTCTTTTTCCATACATCTGTCCTATATTTCCACACATGCAAATCTACCTATGTTTGCCTAGTACTCTCATTTGCACTTATTTCTTTTTATTCAATACTATAATCATACTTGTTCTGTTTTGTGTATGATTTTATGTCATGACACATCCCTGATGGTTACATACTGGCAAAAGTTGCTGAGGTATCTGTTATAAACCACTTCATACTTGACACACCCAGACACTGATGCATTCGGTATCTTATAGTTGATATACTTGATGGCCAGCATATGCGATTCTTGGTGTAAGCCTTTGATAGACTGGCGCTTTGGGGTTTTAGTGTGTTGCAACAAACAAAGACTAATTTTCTGATGTGCATGGGTTTAGAGGATCTGTTTAGTATGTAGATATGATAGTTTATGAAATATTGATTTGTCATGATTTTGACTAGTTTTATAAAATGATCACGATTTGCAGCATGATTGCAATAGATAATAGGAAACCATGTTGGTATAAGCTTTAGTTGGACAATGTTATCTTTTTCTAAAGGATGAAATCTTTTTAGATGGATTGTCAAGATTTTCCTACTTAAGTGAAACAAGAGAGGTTGACACCTTCATTGCAATAATTCCGAGTATGTGAAGTGAAGGACTCAAAGAACACTTATATTAGTAAGCAGAGGTTATGTTTTTTCCATGGTGGGAACATGGCTTTTGAATACCATGCTAGCAAGTCTCAGTATCCCCCATTGCAACAATTACACTTTCTAACATGGTACAGAAAGCTGATGCACATGACATCCTTATAATCTGCTCTTTCAGTGATTATAACTATCTAATATGACATTAGTTTCTACTTTTTTGATAATTTTAGATGAGAACTGGAAACTATGTGCTTCCATGCAGTATTACATATGATTTGATTAAGCTTCTGCTGCATGAATTTCTTCATGACAATATCTTTTACCTACATTTTTCTTTTGTTCTATATATAGTTATATCTTGTTTATTATAGGTATCTATGCTCTCTCAAGCACATCATTTACATTCCTGTATATTAATTGACTAAAATTTTCCTATTCCTTGATTCTGTTTATGCTTTTCTTGATACTAATGCTTTCTCTATTCATTCTTGTGCATGACTTGCTTAAGCACATTTTATGTTGCCTTATTGTATTGTAGGTCACTGATCAAAACCTAGATGTGTGGCTGAAAAGTTCAGCTTGTGTTTCTGATGCTTTGCGTCGTTATTATTATCAGTATCTTTCATCCACCTCAGAGGCTGCCGAGGTACTTTATCCAACATATCCTGACAAGTTTATAGTTATTTCTTCTTTTGGTTGTGGAATAAGCAATATTTGATGAAGAAGAAGTATTGAGGATGGACTATACTTCGACCAATTGTTGTCTTTTTGTTTTATTTGGCAAGTTTTGGTTCAAATCCAAATTAGTTGTATTCCATGTTCGATTGTAGTATCCATAAATCTGTGCAAAGTGCTTTTTGCCCTCAAAATGACATTTTATACCATTCAGGTGTTCATGTACAATCATTGTATTTACTTTCGAGGCCCTATGTCATTTTTTCTGTTTAATACATGTCGACGATGTTTTCATTAATAGATCATACTTTCACAAGCTTAATGAAGGGCTTGTTTTGTTTTGTAGTAGTCGCAGCAGTCAAAAAGTGTCACTTTACTGGATGACGTTTCCAGAAAATGATTGTGAAGTTTACTATTTGATTTATCAATAAAATGGACAAAGGAAAATTAGTTACTTGATCCGTGAGTTTTCTTTAATAACTGTAGATGTGGAAAAGAAACATGTCTTATCTCTCTTTTCTTTTGTCGCTTTCAAGGTAAGCATAGGGCATTTCAGGATGCTGGAGATTGTAAATATCTTTTGCGTCAGTGGTGACCAACTGCTGATATAGCACCATAAATAATTATTTGATGATCAGCAGTCAAAGACTTTAGGACACAAGTAGCTGTAGCCAACAGTTGGCATATTTTGATTGTTAATCATTAGCGGACTGAAGAATGGTGTTGCACATCATGGCTGCCACTCGACTAACCTTTGGTGATTGGCAGCCTCAGCCCACCATTTGGTGTCTGTTGGCTGCTGGTAGAGATCATAGTTAGTACGCAATGACTAGCAGTAGACAAGGTAGTATTCCAATTTTAGTAGCCTAGTTTCAAACTTACATGGAACTCTTATGTCTAGTTTGGAAATGCAATAATGACTTGGAGACACTATTGTTTGTCCTACATTCATCATTTTGGGATCAAGAGCTGGCAATGGTTTGTTTCATTTCGAGTCTGATCGATCTCAAATGTAAAGTGTTGACCAGCATATGACCCAACCTCCATCTCGCTGAAGATCCTGGAACTGAACCTAGGTGATTGGTTTTGCAGGTCAATCTGATCCACTCTGACTTGCCAATCAGACTAGATTACTAGCAGTCAATTCGACTCAGGCTTGGGGAAGTAAATGCAGAAACACCTATGTCTGGCTGCTTCTTGTGGTCCAATAGATTCACTTGATCATCAAATAGAAAAAGTCGAGTGTACCATACAAACCCTGACCTTCACTGGGGCAAAGGTTTATACCATTGATGGTGCCAGAGAACAAGGTGGTGTGGTCGTCAACAATGGTTCATTTTTTGTGCGTTTATTCTGATCTAGAACCTACCAGCTCTAAAGCAATTGGAGATACAACGAACATGAGAAGGCAGGAAGAAGCAAGGTGATGTGGTTGCCGGCTGGCTCCTGATTGGCTCAGTACATGCTGCTGCCAAGGCATGACACACTGCCATGCCAGCATGGAGGTATTGGCAAGACACAAAAAGGGAAAAGAGAACTGATTCAGTACTTTTAGGATGCTTTGGAAATATATCAGTGATAGTTGAGAAGATTTTGTATATCTTTTATGCTGATAATTTGATTTTAGACTAAATATGTATACAACTAGTTATATTGTTCGTAAACTCTTCACGTGAAACATTATTTTAGGAGTCTATGACTAATGGCATTAAATAATTTATAATAAATTCTTCTTATCTTCTCTATATGCTTGAAGCATGGTTCTTCGCCTAGACTAATGCATAACAACAACACTTACTAGTATGATGATTTGTTGGGTTAGTGGCATCGATCGTGGCTCATGCAACCATGTATATTCAAATCTTAGAAAAAGTTATATGGCATGTACTGGCATACCATGTGTCTGTTCATCAGGATGTACTAAACTCATGCCGGTTCAGCAGGCGACTGGCACAGGCCTGGTACCTGAAACATCAAACATGGCTTGAAGTACCATTTTCCATGATGAACAGGTTAGGGATGACAGTTACGCACTTGTTATTGTTCACCATGATATGTTGCTATATATTCTAAAAATATAGAAAAAATCTCAAGCATCATCATATGTGATAGTTATATGTTTACATTGTCTTTTACATCTTTTTTTTTTCAAGGTTTGACATATAAGTTTATCCATAATCTGTCATACTGATATATTGCATTTATATGTATGCTTCATACATGAATATGTGCAGATGTTATGGTTAGTTTTTCACAATATTAATGGAATTCACTAATAACTTTCACCCAAGGACAATCATCTATATTATTTTCTTTTGCAAAGTTCCTATTACAATATTCCAAACAACATATGGAGCAACATTTGACTCTGTTTCATAATGAATTGTCTTGCTGCAGGAGAAGATTTCCCTTCTTCGAGAAAATGAATTTTTTATTAAAGAAAATCAGAGGCTCAATGATGAGAAAGAGTCCATGCGTAGAAACAAGGAACTGGCTGATAGTCAGATAGTAGTTCTAACAAGTAACTTGGAAGGTGTAAAGAAGGATTTAAAAGATAAGGATACTCTGGTATCGGTCCTGTCCATAATCTTTCTGCAAGTTAGTTTCATGGGCATAGAACTAACATCTGTGTTGTTCTGAAGGTACAGAATCTTAAGCAGTCCATGGATCTACAGAGAAAGCAACTTAATGACTGCAGAGCTGAAATCACAGCACTGAAGATGCACATAGAAGGAGCCCGAGCTAGCAGAAGCTGGACAGCTGGAGAAAGTGAAAGCACAAAGGCTCCTTATACTGACAAGTCTAAGGAAGAAAAGAAAACCTCATATGGTGAACTAGAAGACTTAAAAGGTGTTGATTCCACAACAAGAAATCCAGAACCCATTATAGCTCTTAGCGAGGATGTGCAATCAGAGAAAAAAGTGGTTGAGATCAATGAAGTAGCTGTTGTATCTAAATCTGTTGACTTAGTTTCTACTAATTCAGATGAGAATCATGATTATCAAGCTTCTGAAGATGTCAGATCCAGGCCTCATAATATTGTTTCTGATGCAGCAAATGTTTCTTGTAATGATAGTGTTGAATACCAAGAGAATGCTCATAAACTCATTTCTGAATTGAAGTCTGAGGATAAAGGATTGAACCAAAATTCAGAGAGTCCCAAGAGGGGAAAAACTCAAAAGATGGTAAATACTTGAAAACATTTGTTATTTTTAAGCATTAGCATACTTCTTTTTGGTGGTTATATAATATTATATGCAAACAGGTTTAGCTTCTTGTTTCTTGTTAGGCACTGGAGACCATACAAATACTTTCAGATGCATTACCCAAGATTGTTCCCTATGTTCTGATCAACCATCGTGAGGTTCTTATTTGAAGTTTCTTTCTGTCTCCATTTTTCTGAAACATTAGATTATAATATTTATGACTTACAAATGCAGGAGCTTCTTCCATTGATTATGTGTGCTATTGAACGCCATCCAGATAGCGCAGTGAGAGATTCCCTAACACACACATTGTTTAATCTTATAAAACGGCCAGATGAACAGCAGCGGCGCATCATTATGGATGTGAGTTACTTCATTAAGACATGGTTACTAAATGATTTCAAGATTTTTTTATTTCTTTATTTTTCTTAATAAAGAAATTTGTAGCTTAAGGAGTTCTGTGTTTTCCTTTTCAGGCCTGTGTAAGCCTAGCTAAAAATGTTGGAGAGATGAGAACTGAAACAGAGTTGCTTCCTCAGTGTTGGGAACAGGTACCCAATGGCTGGCTTAATCTGCTTCATCTATTTAGGCAATCTGTTATTTATTTTTCCATGATGGGACTATGTTATGAAACTGATATGCAGATTAATCACAAATATGAGGAGCGTAGGCTATTAGTTGCTCAATCATGTGGAGAACTTGCAGAGTTTGTTCGACCTGAAATTCGTGATTCTCTTATTCTATCCATCATTCAGCAACTAATTGAAGATTCTGCCACAATTGTTCGAGAAGCTGCTGCTCATAACTTGGCACTGTTGCTTCCACTCTTTCCAAATTTGGACAAATATTTTAAGGTCAGCCTCACTAATGCTCAGAGGCCATCATGGAGCAGAAATTTGAGTTCACAGAATTGTCTAACATGTAAGCTGTATAATAGGCTGGAACAAATGGCACCAGGAGTGGTCTAGGGGCTCACTTCCTGGTTAAAGAAAATGCTCACAGCTGGAATTCTTATCTAAAATTCATCTTTACGTTTCATAGGTTGAAGAGCTCATGTTCCAGTTGGTATGTGATCCTTCAGGAGCGGTTGTTGATACCACAATCAAAGAACTTGTTCCTGCAGTAGTAAATTGGGGTGCTAAACTGGACCATGTTCTACGAGTCATACTCTCCCACATTTTAGGTTCTGCTCAGGTATCTATGTTTCGTATCTTCAGACCTCTTTGGCATTATGGTTTTTGACTTTCTTGCTATTACACTGACACATAATTTGTCAGCGGTGTCCACCTCTATCAGGAGTTGAAGGATCTGTAGATTCTCATCTCCGTGTTCTAGGAGAACGAGAGCACTGGAATATTGATGTACTGCTTCGGATGTTGACAGGGTTGCTGCCATTTGTCCATCGTAAAGCTATTGAAACATGCCCTTTTAGCTCTGCTATGGAGTCTCTTACCACTTCAGAACAACAAAATTCGTTCTTCTCCACGTCTTTGCTTCAGTTATATGCAGGGTTAGCTACTCACAAATTGAGGACCCTCTAATCTGTCCATTCCTGGAACATATTGGTTCTGAATTAGTTTTATCTTGCTTTAACATTAGCTTATTTATGCATTTTCCTCAAATACGTTGGATAGGGGTCGGACAATTTGGCCTATGTTTGATTGGATGCACGTGGATTGTCTTCCTGACTTGATTCAGCTTTCCTGCCTCTTATCTCACAAGGAAGACAATCTGAGAACTCGAATCACAAGGGTAAGATTGTAATTAGTGCTAACTCAATTAATGCACTTTAAACTTGCTGCATTTTCTCTGGATAACGAACTCTGACATCCATTTCTTGATTTTTCTTTGCAAACAAAGTACCTTCTGGATGTATCTGAATTCTTTGGGGAGCAATACCTTGTGCATATAATGCTTCCTGTTTTCCTGATAGCTGTTGGCAATGGTGATGGTGCAGATTTGACATTTTTTCCTTTATCCATGAAGTCCAGAATCAAAGGTATTAAGACCATCTCAAGCGTGTGATTATGTATCCTCTCATTTCAAAATTAATTCATTGTGGCTTAGTTTTTCTGAGGTTTTTGAGCTTACATTATGACCTATTAAACATATCTGTGTACCCACGTCATGGCACCCTCTCCTGTTTAATTTTTTTATTAATTAGGAACCAAGGATTGTATAATGGTTGACCAACTTGATGGGTTAAGATTCAGCTCACAGCATCTTTGGAAGATTATACTTTATAAGTAATAATATCATTAGCAATGTGAGCATTCTTTGGTAATGACTGCTGATCTTGCTTTTCTTTTCCTTTATTGCAGGACTGCAACCTAAAACCTCTGTGGCAGAGAATCTTTCTGTCATGTGCATTCTTCCGTTATTGTTATCTGGAATTTTGGGTGCTCCAACTATTCATGAAAAATTATCAGATTACTTGAGAAAACTACTAGTGCAAAACAATACTCAAGAAGGTTCATGGCTTGTTCATCACACTGCTGAGGTGATTGATGCAGTTCGATTCCTTTGGTTAGTATTTTTGAAATAATATGTAGTATTTGATCATTATTTTCATATGATTTCACTAAAATTGGATTTAATCCAGCATATTCAATGAGCATCATGGAGTCATTTTTAATATCCTATGGGAGATGGTCGTTAGTGCCAATGTGAATATGCAGACCAATGCAGCAGTTCTCTTGAAAGTTATTGTAAATTGCTGCCTCAAATAGTTCAATTACTTTTCTTTTTTCTTTATACATCATTGGATGTTTTAATGACATTTATGCAAAATTAGGTGCCATATATTGATGTAAAAGCTGCTTCTACACATGTTTTGCCTGCTCTTGTCACTCTTGGTTCTGATCCAGATTTAAATGTGAAATATGCAAGCATAGAAGCATTTGGAGCTGTTGCGCAGCATTTCAAAAATGATATGGTATTAAGGAATTGCCAATACAGTATTCCATTGTTTTTAAAACAAATATCCAAAAGTAGACTGATAAAGCAACTATCTTTCAGATTGTTGACAAGATACGCATACAAATGGATGCTTTTCTTGAAGATGGATCACATGAAGCTACTATTACTGTTGTTCGTGCACTACTTGTGGCTGTACCACATACAACAGACAGGCTACGTGAATATATCCTTTATGTTCTGGGTATTCTGAAATTTGGTTTTTCCTCCTTCTAAATCTCTGCATTTATCCTTGACATTTTTTTACATCTGTTATCAAAAATTTTCCAACTTACTTGCATGCCATCTCATGGAAATGATATCACACACCGCCGTGAGAAAGCAAATGTATTTTGCGAGGCAGTTCGTGCTTTAGATGCCACAGGTTTGCTCCCTTCAGATCCATTTCCCTTTTGCTTTGTTTAGTTTCTTGGCAAGATAGTATTGACAAATGGATTACTGTTGTGTATCATTAATTATCAGTCATGCTCTGATATTGCCATCTAACCTTGCCAGTAGAGCATGTTGACATACTAGAACATTCTGTTGTAGAAGTAAACAGGTAAGTTTCATAAGCCAATTGATTGTTGTACTGTAATATCAGTGGATTTAAAAAAACTGTTATTTATGTTTTTAGAGATGATATCAGTGAAGTTCTTAAATTGAACACAATAAATTATTGGGACATAAAAAGACTAGCAAAAGGCTACCATTGACAACTTTATGGTTTGTATTGGTCAATCAGATTTAGGTAAATTGGATGAATCACCTTCCTTGGTTTATTTTCTTGTTATTTGGTTGACAGATTAAGAAACAATCTCCTGTTTGTAGGGATAAGGCTGTATACTCTAATCCTTCCCAAAGAATCTCCTGTTAATGTTCGCTCGAGGTAAAGACTTAGAAACTTAATTTTGTTGAAGAAAGAAAATGACTTTCTCTGTCCATGTTCTTTATAATATTAACTACAGGTAAAGAAGTATTTCTCCTCTTTGGCAATGGTGGACACATGTCCCTGGATACTTATTTAATCTTCTATTCTCTTTTTAAGTTGAGTCTTCTGTACCCCAAACTTTGTCGTCCTTTCTCATCCATCCTTTTCCTGGTTTCACATAATCTTATTTGCATACTCACCTCACATTTACTAAAGAAACACTGTTTCAGTTCAAATTGTTGCATGAAATTCACAAATTCTTGTTATTTAGTGAGTCTTTTGCTGATTAATTTTACATGAAAATTCCATTTTTGATTATCCATTCTCTGATCTTCATTAGTGCCAGAATTTCTCAACAGTGAGCAGGATTTTGCACTAGTTTCTTTCAAAGGTTTCATATAAGCAATCCTTTTGACATTACTCATTGATTCCTACCATTAGATCTTCAAAATCATATATTTGTTATTTTACTAAATGTAAACCTAACATTAAAAGAAATTATAATGTATGTGCTGCAAGATAAATATTGATATATATTTTTCATGTATTACTTTGTTATAACTTCTAACAATGATTTTCATCTTACATTATCATGTTTACATTGTATTTATCTTCTGCTATCATTCATTTATCTAAGTTGCACATGTGCATGAAACTTTATTTGTTATGCCTTCAAATATTTCTCTTTTAGACGAGTCTTGATTGTTCTAGTTAGAAAAGTCAACAGGGCAACCTTAACGCTGCAAGATTGCCACTGTTGAACTTGGGTTGTTAGTGTTAAAGCCTCTACTCGTAGAGGTAAATATATATATATTTATCTTCCCTGTACTCCACGTAGGTGGGAGCTTCATCCACCGAGTCCCTCCTTTACCAGTGACTGCTATAATTAACTACCAGAATTCTTTGTGGATTTTACAATTTGGATATGATGTTTTTCCTAATTATCATTTCCTAAACTTGAATGTCTATTTTCACTTTTTGACATATAACTTCTACTGGACCAGTCTTTTTGTTTAGCCTTTATAGATGTTGACATAATTAATATAATTTGTCTTCAGTGCCATAGTTCTTGAGCACTGAAGACCAAGGGCTAGACCAAGCATATTGTGCCATCGGTCATTGTGTTGTACTCATGGATCAGTTTTCTTTAGCTTCTGTTGAGTGCAAACTTTGGCTACAATGAAGACAAACTTACACCAGGACTATCACACAAGTAACAGGTCAAGCAGGTAAGAACACCATAGGCCATGAATGGATAATCCCTTTATTCCTTTAAAAGGGGAGTAGGCTTAGTTTGCAAAAATTTTTCATCTTCCATAAATAAATATGAAGAAAAAGGTCAATCATAATGTGGTTGCAGTTTTGATTTGGTAAGCCTAGTGTAGTAACTAAAACAGTAAAGTAGATGAACATAGCAAGAAGCAAATTCTTAGTTGACTATTGATTTTGCTCTTCTGGCACTTAAAGCTCCAAATCTCAGATTGCTTATTCTGGACTACTAGCCCTATGGTGTTCAGGAAAGGGCTGGTGTAGTTGAGCTTTATCTGTTTCAATGTCAGGGAGCTATAAGTTTGACGAAAGCACTCTGGTTTGCATGATTTTCAGCTTCGGCCATTTGATATGAATATGATAATTCTCCATCTGCTAGAGAAGTGCAAGCAACAAACCCAGAGTCATGCTAAAGCAGGACTGTTGTTATTGTAGCTGGTTATCTATGATTTCTTGAAACCTATTCAGATGGGGAAATGCTATCTAGATCAACTGGATCACTCCAATAAAATTTTCTGGGGTTGTAATACCTGATGTGGTGAAACCCACATATCTAAGCCCCACATATTAGGTCTGTGATGGACTATATCACCCCAGAAAATTTATAGTGGTGATTCAGTCAGCATAATAGCATGGTCCTTACATATTTCATTTTGGAAGTCTCTGCCGATGTCATTAGAGTTGCTCCTTCTGACCTGGATGATTAGTTCTAGTTCTAGTCATGGAACTTCTTGAAAAAGATTGCAGCATTAAGACTGCATTCATTAAACCTTCATAGATCACATATCGGCAAGAGTTTGTTGCATTGGACTTACAATTTATGTTTTATTTTCACCTAAGTAGATAATTTCAAATATTAACTTCTTATTCCACGAAGCGGAACTTGTTGATTTCAGTCCTGAGTGTTGATTACTAATTCTACAATTTTTGTTGATGTGTACTTTTTGTTTTTTTGAATTGGCAATATGAAAGCACCAGGAAGTGTTCTTAAGAATAGAGTTGATCTTCCTGTTGACAAGTCATGATTAGTTTATGAATCTATAAGAACTCCAATATTTATTTTGCATATGAACTCTCGCCAGACTTTTCCATTTTCTGCAGATCTTCCTGCCACCAGTATCCGTGATTTCCTTGTACCCACTATCCAAAACCTTTTGAAAGACCTGGATGCTCTAGATCCTGCTCACAAGGAAGCATTGGAAATTATACTGAAGGAGAGGTCAGGTGGGGCATTTGAAAACATCAGTAAAGCGATGGGAGGCCATATCGGTCTTGCATCTTCAGTTAGCAGTTTCTTTGGTGAGACTGGCCGTCTAGGAAAGAAAGAAGGTGGTGACACGCACGAATATGCTGCTTCGCCACAGCCAAGTCCACCAGCCCAGCAAGATGATACAAGGTTCAGGAAAATGTTGAGGGGCAGTTTCAGTGACATTTTAAGAGGCAAAGGTAAGGGTTCCGAGGAGCCTCCAAGACAGTCGGGCTAAAGAGCCTTGAGACACCTTTGGTAAATACTCTCCTGAGGAAAGTTCTCAATACAGTCAGAATGACTCCACAGGTGCAACAGAGATTTGCTTTACTCTCTAATTAATAGTCTTTGATTTGTAATAAGTGACGTTTTTGAAACTCGAGGTTATTCATCGTAATATAATGAAATTGAACCGAAGGAATAAACTTTGCACCTCTTTGAACTTTATATTGCATTGTCAGACGACTTGTTTTTCAGGCCTTTATGATTGATGAGATGTCCAAGTTGGATGACTAGAGCTGATTAGATGTTCTTGTAATAAACACGGCTAAAACTTGAGATGGATTTTCTTCAGTTAACTTTTGCAATTATAAGTCTCGGTTGGATGGTTAGTGTATTGTTGCACAAGTAATATAAATTTCTTTCAATTAGAAAAAAGACTTTTGCAGTTTATGATTGATGAGATGTCGAAGTTGGATGATTAGAGCTGATTAGATGTTCTTGTAATAAACATGGCTAAAAACTTAAATAAAGAGATGGATTTTCTTCGGTTAACTTTTGCAATTATAAGTCTCTGTTGGATGGTTAGTGTATTGTTGCACAAGTAATAGAAATTTCTTTCAATTAGACAAAAGACTTTTGCAGTTATAAACATATATCAAGTTTTATAGTAAACTTTTATAAGATGCACTGTCAGTGAAACATTTAATAAGATTTGCAATTTTGATCCGTACTAGTATAGGTCGATAACGGTCAGATTCGATCATTATCGTCCAGTACAGATCTCGTATCGCACAATACGGAGTCAGGTTATGGTATCGCCTAGTAGAGGGCAATCCACTCGCTCGTATCAGACGGTATGGGTCAATACGTCAAACCCTACATCTATGCATATTTCTAATAGATTAGGTGAAATAAGATGAACTATGGTTATTAGTTCTAGTCTCATTAATAATTAGTTCTCGATGTAAAACACATCAAAGCTTCTTCACCAACTGAGGCAGTCATTGGTTATACAAATTTATCGATGGATCACAAGGAGACATCCTAGTTAAAGGTTATTATAAAATCATTTCTTCCCTTTCCTCGAAGAAAGGTTCTCCCTAAGTTTTGATCCCAATCGTTGTCATGAATGTTTGATGTAATTCATGCAAATGTATTGGATATATATACATGTCTAATGCATCAATCAGTTCGCGTAAGATGGTAAAAGAAGGGAAAAAAAGGCCCTGCAGCCATAGGAGGAGAAGCCTTATATGTAGGCCATTGGAATCTCTCACCACCAGCAAATCGTGTTCCTCTCTATCCATTGAAAAAGAGAGAGGTCATGTGGGTCTTGTGAAAAGAATAAGATGGTCATGTCCTATCTCTCGACTCATCAAGAGACGGCTGCATAAACCTTCTAACTTGTGTATTGTCATTGGTGGCAAATAACTCAGATCCCAATTCGAGAACTGATTGTTCTGATTCTGTTGGTATCACGACAGTTTCGATTCTACCTATTTTTCTTTTTTATATTTTTTTTCAAGATACTGCTTAAATTAAACTATTGAAAGGGACAAATTCGTCGAACATTTTGATTTTCTTATTTTCCTATCGGATTCAGAGTTAAACCGAAACCATCAGTTTTGGTTTCAGATTCGACTGACTGGAACTACCGGTTTCGATTCTAGATTCTAAGATTTTCTTATTTTCTTATCGGATTCGGAGTTAAACCGAAACCATCAGTTTTGGTTACAGATTCCACTAACCAGAACCACCGGTTTCGATTCTAGATTCTAAGATTTTCTTATTTTCCTATCGGAGTTAAACCGAAACCATCAGTTTTGGTTCCAGATTCCACTAACCAGAACTACCGGTTTCGATTCTAGATTCTAAGATTTTCTTATTTTCCTATTGGAGTTAAACCGAAATCATCAGTTTTGGTTACAGATTCCACTAACCGGAACTTTCGATTCTAGATTCTAAAA